TACTGGGTACTTGCAGCACGTGGCTCCTGGGTACTTGCGGCAGGTGGTGGCTCAGAGTAGGCACAGAGTAGGCAGCCGCACGGAGAAGGTACTGGAGTCCAGTGGGGAAGTTAGGAGACAAGCCGGGTCGGTAACAAACTGGCAACAAGGTACAAGGCAGAATCCAATGGAGAGTCAAGAGGTAAGTCGGTGTCGGTAACAAATGGGCAGCAAGTACCCAGTATCCCGATTCGGCATAATTCTGGATGGCATCCCCAACGTTCTGGTGTCCCCAGAGTGGCCAAGACCAGCCTGATACCGAAAGGTTATTTCCCTGCTAGGCAATGGTCCCTGTCATACCAACCAGATCTCTCTCAGGTGCTGATTCTTTACCTTCCTTTAGGGACACTCCCTTTTAGGTTTAAACCAGATCCATTTATCTTGAGAAAGCACAAAAAGATTAAATTGATGTTTCTCAGATTCCAAGTGAAGCAGTATGCTATACGCAGCATGCCTTGTATATACACTATATTGCCAAAAGTATTGGGAAGCCTGCCTTTACACACACATCAACTTTAATGGCATCCCAGTCTTAGTCCGTAGGGTTCAATATTGAGTTGGCCCACCCTTTGCAGCTATAATAGCTTCAACTCTTCTGGGAAGGCTGTCCACAAGGTTTCGGAGTGTGTCTATGGGAATGTTTGACCATTCTTCCAGAAGTGCATTTGTGAGGTCAGGTACTGATGTTAATCGAGAAGGCCTGGCTCTAATTCATCCCAAAGGTGCTCTATCGGGTTGAGGTCAGGACTCTGTGCAGGCCAGTCAAGTTCCTCCAACCCCAAACTCGCTCATCCATGTCTTTATGGACCTTGCTTTGTGCACTGGTGTGCAGTCATGTTGGAACAGGAGGAGCCATCCCCAAACTGTTCCCACAAAGTTGGGAGCATGAAATTGTCCATAATGTCTTGGTATGCTGATGCCTTTAAGAGTTCCCTTCACTGGAATTAAGGGGCCAAGCCCAACCCCTGCAAAGCAACCCCACACCATAATCCCCCCTCCACCAAACTTTACACTTGGCACAATGCATTCAGGCACTGTTCTCCTGGCAACCGCCAAACGCAGACACATCCATCGGATTGCCAGACAGAGAAGTGTGATTCGTCGCTCCAGAGATGCCATGGAGATGATTGGAACACCTATATCCAATGATTTGGAGGGGTGTACCAATACTTTTGGCAATATAGTGTATCTATACAATTTATTGTAGATCACAATGTCTAAACCACATGCCCCATTTATCTTTGGAGGAACTAAAAAAAATAAAAAAATAAGATTTTTCAGGTTCCACTACAAGTAAGATGACACACAAGGTGTAGGCAATAATTCTACAATTTTTTGTAGACTTCATTGGCTAAACCACATCCCCATTTTATTTTTGGAGTGTTCAAAAAAGGATAAAGTTATATTTTTAACATTACAATGTAAGGATTATTGTACACCCTCCATGATCGTAATTTTATTACATTTCTTGGAAGTTTAATTGGATAAAACACTTCTCATGCAGCTTTTGAGGACAAAAAAGGAGTTTATTTTTTCCTTTTAAAATGAAGGAATATTTTACATATTGCAAAGACAATCTCTTTTAGGCCACATATTGAAAATGACCGACCTCCACTTTTGCCTGCAATTGCACAACATCTTTAAAGAACAACTCTGGCCATAAATATTCTCATCTTTGCAGTGGGGCTACCCCTGTACTGCAAGGGTTAAGTGCTCGTTTTCATCTAGGGACGAAAATAACAAAGTTATACTTGGCTTAACCTTGGAGCTGGTTGGCTTGTAGACCAGTCCCTGTAACCCCCAAAAAGATACCACTGGGCATAGTAGATATCCCAGGGTATTGAACACAGGGTAAGCTTTACTATTTATTTGAATAATTATACATTTTGTATCATCAAGTCACTAATAAAAAGTACATCATCTGTTGCAATTTAAGGGCTTGAAAAGTGCTAAGCAAAGACATAAGTTGTGGTATAAAAAAACATGTACTATTCTAGTTTATACCATATTTTGTGGAAGTGTAAATCCCTAAGAAGTTTTTGGCACAAAATTTTCAAAAGGATATCTGCTATATCAGGGATCTTTACTCCCCCTTCTCCTGCATTAGCTATTCTCTCTATTGGCATAGAACAATTTCCTTTCTTTGTAGCTGCCAAACGAACTATTGTTAACCATTGGTTAAGTAGCGAAACCCCATCCATATGTGAAAGCCTATTGATTGTAAAGCTGCATTATTATTATGAAAAGATCATGGCCTATAGGGAGGGTACTGTTACGAGCTTTGACCGAAGATGGTGTCTTTGGATGCTTTGGTCTGATACAGTTCACGTGATCATTTATGCAATATTGTAAATTTTCTTACGTTTGTCTAAATAGAAGAAAAAACTGGGTTTATACCTGCATTTATATGTTTATCTGTGGATTTCATTGATATTACTTTTCTTGCTATGTGCCTTTATCTACATTTCGAGTTTGAGTTTAGAGGGTGCATTGCCCATTTGTGTTTTTGTTATGTTTTTTTGGGTTTATTTTTCTTTTTTTGTATGTATATTTCTTACATTTCCAATAAAAAGTTATAGTGTAAGCTTTTTTTTTCCTTCAATAACAGTCAGTAACAGTATCACTAAATTGCTCTCTCCTGCATTGTTCACAGTTAAATCAGTTGTGAAGCAGCGAGGAAGAGATGCAATGACAACTGTCTGCCAGCTAGCTGTGTTTACAAACGCACTTGTTCTGACGGCGCTGACATAAAACACACTGCTGCTCATTCTACAATGGAAGATAGATTAACACTTCCTCTGTTGTGCAGGGGAACATTGATATACATATTGCAGATGAAAAGGGCTTAAGTAATATGAATGCAGAGCTCACAGCTCCTATCTGTCTGCATCAGAAAGTGGGCTGCATGTTTAGTTTGTTTTGATAATCACATTAGCGCCCCAAAGAATCCAAAAGCAATCCGATGGTGACAGGAAGGATTCTTGAGTGAGCTAAGGTATTCTGTTAATTTATATTGATTTTCTGACCTGATAGGTTCCCTTTAAGATTGTATTTGCATATCGCTAGTTCTTACATTTCCATGGATATCCAGAACTATTGTAAAGATTACATATGTATAAAGCCACCAGTGACTCTGAAGCAGAGATGACAGATAAAGTTGCATGTCTCCACTGCATATCGTTGAAGAAAAAGAGTGAAGGTTAAATTTGTGGGTTCTTGTTCTTCTGAAGAATGTACGCTATTAAAATGTGTTTTATTAGCTCAGATTCCATAACTGGAAGGACGTAATCATATGGGAATTTAGAGTGACACAAAACATATGGGTCAAAAGTAGGGATGCACCAATACCATCCCCCCCCCCT